GTAATAATATATTAAAAAAAAAAAAAAAAAAGGGAAAACAGTCTTTGCAGACTGTGTGGGAGCACAAAGGCTCCCACTTCGTCTTGGAGACTGTGTGGGAGCACAAAGACTCCCACTTCGTTTTGGACAGATGATTGTGGCCGCGAGATCTTGAAATCTCGCGGCCCACAGTTCACACACGGAAAGCAAGAGGGGGTTGGGGTTGAGTGGAGAGTGAGAGAGAGAGAGAAATGGGAGGATGGGGAGAGGAGGACCTGTTCCTCCCGACCTGCCAGCTGCCTCCCCGTTGTTAGGGGGGGTAAGAAAAAAAAAGAAAAGAAAAGAAAAGAAGAAAAAGAAAAGAAAAAGAAAACGAAAAACGGGATCTGAGTTTTTCTGAGAAGCTGTATTTTTCAGTTTGCGCCACTATTGTTTTGGTGGCGCAAAACAATTTTGTTGACCTTGATTTTTTTTCTGTAGGTAGTCAGGCACCTAGGCCATGTGCATGAATTTGTTTAGATTTGTTTATCAAGCGAATATTTTTCTAAAATTTTTCAAAGTTGGGGTACTTTTTGCACCCCGCTCTGAGCCTGTCGGGATTTGAACCCGTGAATTTTCACGAGTTCTTTCCCTACCTCTCCCAATCTGACAACTGCCATCCCCGTTTTCAGGGGAGGGCAGGGGAGAAAAGCGAAAAAGAAGATAAAAGGGAAAAGGGAAAAGCCACGGCCACGAATGTGGCCTCGACTATGATCAGATACAGGCCAAACTGGCCTGAATGTGACTCAGGCCAGAGGCTGGGGAGATGAAGGGGTAATGAGGGGAACTTGGCTGGAAACAGCCATTTTCCCGCTGAACCTGCACTCAGTGTGGGGCTGAGTGCAGGGAAAAGGGAGAAAAAGAGGGGGGCAGTTGAGTACAACAGCCACCCTAAGTGTGTGGCTGAGGTGAGACAGCCTCAGTCCGTTGATCTGGCTTAGATCAACGGCCCCAGGCAAGTGACGAATTTTGCCTGGGGGCAGCTGAGGCTGCTGCTGCCCTCCTCAGCCACTACAAAAGAGGCAGTTGTCCCCCAGCTGCCTCACACTTGCCTCCGACTGCCAGTGTGCGACAGCACACTTGCCTCATTGCTGGAGTGCTGGAGAGGAGGCAGGAGTGCTGCCGGCGGAGCTAGAGGATTGCAGAGGAGCGGAGAGACGAAGGAGGAGACAGCCATAGCCTTGGCTGGAGCATGACAAGTGCTGCCGAAATTCTGCGGCGGCGGCACGGGTTTTTACGGCAGCGGTACGGAAGTGTTGCCGAAATTCTGCGGCGGGGACACGGGTTTTTACGGCAGTGGTACGGAAGTGCTGCCGAAATTCTGCGGCGGCGGCACGGGTTTTTACGACAGCGGTACGGAAGTGCTGCCGAAATTTTTGCGGCGGCGGTTCTGGTTTTTCGACGGTGGTGCGGAAGCGCTGCCGGATTTTTGCGGAGGCGGTTCTGCTTTTTACGGCGGTGGTACGGAAGTGCTGCCGAACTTTTGCGGCGGCGACGCAGGCTTTTTTCGACAGTGGTGCGAAAGCACTGCCGAATTTTTGCGGCGGCGGTTCTGGTTTTTTTCGACGGTGGTGCGGAAGCGCTGCCATTTTTCGACGAGAGTTCGGCACAGCAGTGGAACTGCGGCACGACGATGGGACGTGCGGCGCGGCAGTGGAGTTTTTCTTTATGGCACTGAAAGGTTTTTTGTTGCGGCGCGACATCTGCTTTTATTGGTGAAGGTCTGTTACCATTGGTGTGTACAGCAGCAGCAGCGTGACATGGTGGCGGTTGACGGCATGCGACGATACGAAATCTTAGCGCGACGGACAGGTTTATTTTTTATGCAGCATATGAAATAAATGTTTTGTAGATGGGRCTACCCAACACTAGCAGTAATGCGGGACCACTTGGGACTGGCTGGGATCAGTTGGGATCGACGCAGGACGCGGTGGATTTTTTTGGGACGAGTGGGGCTCGCCATCTTCGCACTTGGGACTGCCGCGAGTGAAACTTGCGAGTCGACCACTTCACTCAAGGTCGGTCAGTGGGCGACTTAGACTCCCTTCACACCTGTGTGCACCCACACATTGCTTGACCATTTTGTTTTGAATGTTCAGGAGAAAGGTTGAGTGGGGTTGTGGGCGTCATGCATGAGTGAAAAGGTGGGTCTGACGTGAGTAGTGGGACTTTGCTTGTCTTCTTTTGATCGTGTTGTGTGCGTGGTGTGCAGGTGAGTAAAAAAAAACGAAAATGCTATTTGACAAAATGACAGAGAGTTTGACCCTTATCTTTTTCCGTTCGTCAGTGAACTTGCTTGCTATTTTTGAAGGATAATCGATGGGTGTCGCGAGAAAAGAAATCTTGATGACAAAAAGAGAATCAAAGCATAACGAATTTAACTCTTACCAAGGAAACCCGTTTTATCTCGAATAACCCTATCTATCTAACCCTATCTATCTATACATGTCTAAGTGGTTCTCATTCTCTATCACCTCTGACTCTTTTTGTCCAAATTACGTTGAGTTTAGAAAACGAGAACAGTTAAAACCTACTTGGGGTGAACACATTCTCTTTCTCCAGGAAGCATCTGGGGCGGGGGTTCGTTAGGAGCCGGCCCTGTTATTGACCCAGAGTGGACCGTTTCTACGGGGGGGGTACTTTGCCGGTTTGGTGGAGACGGCCCGACTTCTGAGATCCGAGTCTTGTGCTCGGGCGAGGAGGAGGAGTACCCCAGACCACTTCCTAGAGGGAGAGATATCTAACACTTCAAGCAATGCCTCTGATCAAGAATCATTCGTCATCGAAGAAAATTGAGAATGCGTAAAGATGAGAATGTGTGCCTAGTCTTAGGTCGGCAGTAGGTCAGAATGAGTCTCATCAAGTCAAAACTAAGGCGACCGACTACCTTGTCGGTTGCATTGAGGTTATTATCAGTAGTCAACTCGTTGTTGGCGGTTGTTTGATTGTTTTATGGTGTGCGACCCGCAGTGGTCGGATTTTATTATGATTTTGTGTTATTGAATGATGAATTGTTTCTTTCAATTATCATTTTCGATGGGATATATATTCCTGTCGACTACGGTTGACTTCTTTTGATGTAATTGTCTGCGAATGTTATAATTCTCTTTGGCTATATGTCTAAGGGACTAGGATAACTATTTGGGTTTCACGCTTGGTTGAGACCGTCCTAGTCGACCGACGTACGCTTCGTACTTAGGAGATCTGCGCCCTAGGAACGGACGACGTTCGGGTCCGCTTGGCGTTAACCAAGCGTATCTATACTACAACGAACGAGCAAACGCCCTCGGCTGACCTACCTTTGCGACTGCATTTAAAAGCTTTCGCATGTGGGTCGGTAGCTCGGTAGGGATACGCCCCTAAGGGTGGTGACAGCCCCTTAGGGAAGCAAGCTTATGCCCCGCGGGAACCTATCCTGTCGTAGGGGACCGCGGGATGTACAGCTGGCGCACCCGGCTAGAACGGCGAAGGAGCGATGCGACCGCGTCCGTCCCGTCAGTTCGCGGAAATGTTATGCGTCATTCCTAAGTTGTTTCTTGGAGTTGTGTCTTAGCTAAACTCCTGCGTGACATGGCCGGGAGGGCCCTCGCCCGCGCGAGGGCCGATGCGCTCGACACCGGTTCTGAAGGTTGCTGATCCTTCCTTGCCCTTTGTCATCACAACCGACGCTAGTCAGTACGGGATAGGTGTTGTACTCCAGCAGGATGACGGGAATGGATACAGACCTGTGGAGTTCATGTCCCGACGACGACCTAACGAGAAGGTCGTTCTTCCATGTACGAGAGGGAGTTGTTTGCTCTCAGGGAAGCCCTTGATCATTGGCGACACTATCTCCTAGGAAGGCACTTCAAAGTGTACTCAGATCATGAGACACTTCGCTGGCTTAAAACGCAGGCCCGGATGACACCTAAGTTGACTAGGTGGGCCGCCAAAATCGACCACTTTGACTTTGAGTCAAAGCCAGTCAAGGGTAAGTATGACGTTGTTGCCGACGCATTGAGTCGAAGATCATATTTCTTTGGTGCCATTGTAACCTATTTAGATGTGGGCACCGACCTACAAGAAAAGATTAAGAATGCGTACTCCACTTACGCTGTTTATGGCGCAATGATTAATCGGGTACAAGAAGCGCCATTTATAAAGAGTTTCCTAACTATCATATTACACAGGGACAGTTGTTTGAAAGGACTGATGTGCATGACAGGCTTTGTATTCCAAATGAAGAAGGGATCAAGAGTTTGATCTTGGGGGAGTGTCACGGCACCGAAGGCCATTTTGGGTGGAAGAAGACGTACGCAATCCTTTTGCGTTCCTACACTTGGCCTCGCATGAAACCTGACTGCATTGCATATGTGCATGGCTGTCAAGTGTGCCAAAGAAATAAGAGCACTACGCAACCTCCCCTTGGTCTACTTAAGCCTCTGCCTATTCCAACCGGTCCTGGAGACTCTACGTCCATTGACTTTATGGACACCAAGATAAAAAGCAGGAATGGAAAGACGCAAGTCATGGTTATTGTCGACAAATTTAGTAAGTATGCTGTCTTAGTAGCTTTACCAGCGGAAGCGAAAACGAAACTGGTAATCCGAGAGTTCTTTAACCATTGGGTGAAAGACTATGGACATCCCTTGACAATTGTGAGTAACAGAGATACACGATTCATGAGTGAACAATGGCAACAACTAATGAACGTTTACGGCTCTAAGTTGACTATGTCATCAGGTAGGCATCCTGAGACAAACGGCCAAACTGAACAAATTAACAAGATTTTGCAGCAGTCGCTGCGAATGTACATCCGTCCCGATCAGATTGACTGGGACGAGCATTTGCCCAAAGTTGCCAGTGCGTACAACAACTCTGTTCACCTATCTACATGCAAGACTGCGATGGAGTTACATTTGGGATGGCGTCCACACAGGCCTATTGGTCGACTAAACCCGGACCAAGTGCATAAGCTTCCACTAGGAACTAGTGAATTCGCGATTCAGTACCAAAAAGACATTGAAAAGGTAAAGGAAAATATTGTCAAAGCACAACATCAGATGATCGAACAGGCAAATAAGCACAAAAGACCTTCTCAGTTTGCTGTAGGTGATCTGGTGTGGGTTAAGTCTAAAGAGTTTGTTCCTGAGGAGAACATCTCTCAGAAGTTACTACCCGCCTACAGAGGACCTTGGCAAGTTCTTGATGTGATTGGAGATGTGGATGGACCTTCTTATGTCATTGAGATTCCTCTACGTTTGCATATGTATCCGGTATTCCACGCCTCAAGGCTCTTACCTTGCGTAACAAATGAGTTGTTTCCCAGTCGCAGATCGGCGATACCTCGTAGTATGGATGGGAAATACGATGTGGATAAGATTGTTGTTGAAAGTACCTTTCAGACTGGACGTAGAGGCAGACCACAACGACAGTATAAGGTGAGGTTCGCTTATCAGGATCCAAGTGAAGATCGCTGGTTCACACGAGAAGGACTAATGAATTATGCACCTCATATTGTGTCTGCATATGAAAGAGCCAGAAGAGGAATCGATATTATTGACCGGTAGAGAATTTCTCAGAGGACCTCGAAACTAGGCCGGCGAGAGTAAAAGGGCCTTTACCCGATTCAGACCCTGTTTGACAAATGCAGCATAAAGGGGTCACTCGCCCAGAATCCCAACTCGTGAAAAGCAGATCAACAGGCGTGTTCTCTGGGTCAAAAGTCACATCTGCTCATCGAGGGGGTGTGCAGGTCATGTGTGTTCATACGGGAGATGTGTCTGTACGTACAGTATGTGTGTCTATTCGTGCAGTATGTGTGTCTGTTCGTGCAGTAGGTGTGTCTATTCAAAGGAAGTCCAAAGGATAAAGTCCCAGTCAAGATTCCAGTCAAAGGGAGAGTCTAGATTCAGGCATCATGTCCAAAATTCAGGCTAGATAGCCGCAGCAGCAGCAGACCCTGAAGGGAAAGTACTGGGACAAACACCATGCAGAGGTCTGGGACTGAAGGAGGCCCAAAGGTGCCAATGCAGACCTCACAAAGGGAGGCCAGCAGTATAAAGAAGCAGGCCAGCCTCCCTTGACAACAGATCCCCAGTAGCATTCTGGCGTGGAAGTGCTGAATGCACTTGTGCGCTGGCTAGTTGGGTGAGTGCTGGCAGGAGAAGCTGCGCTAAGAGAGGAAGAAGGCTGGGCGTTGGTTTGCAAGTAGCAGCCATAGCTGCCCCAACTAGTTAATGTAATTAGAGGGTTAGTAGTTAGTCTTCAGTGAGTAGCATTCAAAGTAGATTCTCGTAGAAGGAGTGTGCATGCATGATGAGAGAAGAGAACTGAGACAGAGATCTTGAGGGAGAGAGAGAGAAGGGGCAGGTGTACGATGTTGGTTATGGTGGAGACATACCTGTTCTGCGATTTACTTGTTGTTGAGAGGTGGCGCTGGATGAGCCAGGCCTTACATTGCGATTGTATGAGAAGGAGAGACATATCGCACTGTTGGTTCTTGAACTCGAGATACTCTTATAATGTGTTGGAGATAATATAAGCTACACATCTTGGTTCACATCTCATCTCTACTTTGTGCTGTGTGATGGTTCTTAATCTGTGTGATTGGTAACGTGGCATGGATTATGACACACTCTGGCAAGTGGTGGACAGTCAGGTCCCTTGCATGAGAGGAGGAGGAGGAGGAGAAG